ATTGCTATTTTTCCATTCCCAAATGCTCCTTGATCAGAATGTGGAGTTCTACTTGCTACATATTCCAGACACCCTTTGTGGTGATAGATACATGAGGAAGGGAAAGATGAAAAACAGACTTGGATAACTATTTGCCAATGAAAGTCTTGCCTAGCCAGCAAAGTGAGGTTTGTCTCCAGCGCACACCTCTCAGACATTCATTCTCCGTGATGGTTTCTGCAAAGCAAATAACTCAGCCTGGAGGACTCTGTCCTCTGTCATTCACCATTGCCCCCCAAAACTGACTGAAATGCTCTTGCTACCTCTCGTGGCAATGCTGTGCAATAGTAGCTTTGCTCACGTCTGAACAGGCTATATCCTATTCCTGTTTTGAAATCCCTGGGGACTACACCTGTCACTAAAGGTGGAAGCACACAGGAAAAGGAAGTTGTCACGACGCTGCTTGCCTTCGTCAAACCAAACTGTAGGAACACTTACACTTGGTTGCGAATCATTTGCATTTGGTGCAGAAACTTTGAACTAAAGACAAAAGAAGAGTAAACACTGAATACTGCAAAGGGTCTTTGCAAAGCTGCTGGACCTCTTGCAGTTTTCATGCTTCTTCCCTAAGCTGAAAAACAGTGGATATTACCCTGAACTCCTTGCTGGTTCTTTCCCTTCTGAGTCTGCAAGAAGCAGATTAGTGGAACATAGTATTGCCAACTATTACTAGTTCTCTAGTTCTGTCACTAGTCACTAGTTCTATCTGCCTGTGTGTGTTTATTTACTTCACATGCCAGGTCTTCAAGGCTATGGTCATATGAAATCTTCAGCTTTCCTGTATCTTTCCATCCTTCTTTGTCCTTCTCAGCACTCTCCTCTCCTATTAGTCATGCTGTCTCCATTATTTTCAAGAAAAGCTAGAAAGTAACCTAGTTCAGGCTTAAAGCTCAAAGAAAATAAAGAGGAGCCCCAGTTGGTGAGGGAGAAAGCTCAGTTTTATAATTTTATAAACTTGTGATTGTTTCTTTATGAAATCTAACTGCTGGTGCTTCTGTATGTAAGTTTGTCAATATGCATAAGATGAAAATCTTGTCACTGTAAGAAGCTTATGGCAGAAGAGGGAACGGACCATCCGGGCACAGGGGTGCATTGAAGGAAGTGCTGAGATGCCAGTATTTTGCCATTTCAAGGACTGCAGAATTGGAAGAGTCTGAATTTTCTCTCCCTCCAGAAATGACCTTTCCAACCTCCTTGAATAAACTCAAGGCTTGTTCAATATCTAGCAGTTGTCTGAACTTCCCTGAGGACTCTGCCTTGACACTTCAGAAAGAATCATAGTGAGTTTTTAAATGGTGGATGATGTGAGATATTTCATGACATATGTCATATGTCTTGAGAGGTTCAGATTAGTGTATGCTGTTTGCCCTTGGACAAAAGTGAGAAAAATCTCTACTTGTATTTTGTGTAGCCTTATTCCTGCTACTGCCTGAATGTAGATGAGACATTCTGCTCTTATAGCCACCAAACTAGATGTACTCCTACCAGGTGTCTTGCCAGTTTCACCAGATGGCTCTGAGATGATAGATGGAAAATAGCAAGAATGCTTTGATAGGAAAGAAAGGCAAAACTTTTTTTTTTCCACTTACAATTGCTCTTTCTTAGTGACACACTTGCAAACGAATGCAGAAAATTGGGTGGTCATCCTTTGTGAATGCAGTCTGAGGTGTTTCCACTGCCATGGCCACAGAACTGTCAAAAAGTGTGATTTCTGTTTTGCAATATTAATATAAAATCAGAAAGGTGCCAGTGATGGACAGAGGGATATGTTGTTGTGAAGTAACTGTCTCTGAGCATGTTCTCACCTAACAGTAAACACAAGGAAGCTGCACAGCCATGTGAAGTTATGGGTGTCCCTTGCAGAGAGTGCTGCAGGCGGCCCTAGGATGATACTCTAGCATTTACTGGGGTGAGCAACATATTGATGCTCATGGCTGTGAGTCCTCACAGTAACTGCTTCCTTAAAGCCACAACTACACAGGTCCATCATGGTTATTCAGACTTCCACATGCCATTTCCAATAAAATAACTGTTCAGGAGCCAGGCAGCATCATTGAACTGCTGGGCATTTAAGTTGAAACAGAGCACTATGCCTCAGAAAAACCATGTCCTGAGAGAGCAGCCCTGCTAAGTGCAGATCAGTGCCTATCACTGCGGTGGGACACCAAGCAGAGCTGGTTGGACCTTTGCTCAAAAGACGCAAAAGGAAGAAATTCTTCATGCTGTGGGTGACATATCTATGACAAACTGTTGCCTGAAGACTTCTGTTTAGACCAGTGAAACTACTTTTCTAAAGATGTAAAATCCTAACTTTTTGTATATGTTCAAAGAGAGGTTGGACAAATTCACTGAAGAAAGACTCTTTGGGGGTTACTAAACAAACAAAAAAGACTTCTGCTTCAGGAAGTTCCTAAGCTGAAAGTAGTGGGAGGTTGGGAGGCTGTTAGCAGAAAGTGTTGTGTATGCTTCTCCTGTTCTGACTTTTCCCTAGGCAGCTGCTTATGGTTGCTGTCAGAGACAGGATACTAGGCTAGATGAACTGGACCCACTACAGGCTTGCTTTAGAGTGATATATTCAGAGTTCACTTGTACAGTTCTGGGAGACAATCAGAAAGATTCCAATAGTGGTTTTCAGTTCTTCCACTCTTCTGCCCTGTCTCAGGGAGACCTAAGAAATATAAAGGCGGATGCTGTGGAAGTGCTGACTAAGCACTTCTGAGTTGAAAAAAAAATCACTTGAACGAGGTACCGAAAAGGTGTTTTAATTGTTCTATTCTAACCTTTTTGTCTGTAGTGGTCATAACTCACCACTCAGCCTGTGCTAATATTGCTTGTGTTTTGTTCTAATGATGTTTTGCAGGTGTTCCTGAAGCAGAAGTTACCTGGTTTAAGAACAAAGTGAAGCTATTCTCTGCTCACCACTTGCATGATGGATCACTGCTGATTGCAAATGTGTCGCTGTCAGACCAGGGGCTATACTCCTGCAAGGCAGCCAATCCTCGTGGGGAGGTAACTGAAAGCACTGAGCTGCTGGTTCTTGGTAAGTGCAGCACATTTTACACATGCAGCAGTTGGTAACACAGCCCATGCAACCATTTGCTAACTAATCAGAGGATGTAGGAAGAGTGAATGCAGCCCTGTTCACCAGTGAGAAAATAAACTTGTTCCTGATAGTTCTCTGGACACCATTGCTAGCAAGGTGGTGAAAAAGGAAGCTTGGTGGATAAGGAGAAAACGGTGAAGCACAGAGATCTTGCCCTATCCTGAGATTTTCAGATATTCAGACTAACTAGCTAAGAAAAGCACTAAGTTCATTTATTAGCCTTTTCTTAAATGGTGACTTTCCTGAAATGAGCTCAATTACACTTTTTCCCTATGAAGTGCTCTGATCAGCACCCTTTCCGGTACATGTGGATATGACCAATTTCACACCTCGCTAACAGGTGCATGAACCCAGGGCACTTTTAGAAAGCTCTAAGTGAGGTCAGTGAAGAGTGAAGTTTACTTTGTCTTGGGTTTCTTGGTAGCAGACAGAAAGATTAGCTGGGTCATATGAAAAGACAGTGTCACCTGTGAAGCATGCATGAAAGTATTACTAGGCACTGTTGTAATTAATTGGGCCTATAGGAAAGGTCTTTCCTTCCTACTAACTGATCTCCAGCACTTTCAACGGTTGGAGACGATAGATCCGTGCAGGTTGTGTGGATATTTCTGTACCTTTGACAACAAAGTGCTCAGGTTTTGTAATCTTGTCCCCGTTACTGGCATCATGCCGTTAAAGAGTCCATTACAGGTCTCAGCTTTCATGACCATGGTAAGCACAGGGCCCATAGATGAAGCTGTTTTAAAGTGACAGGTTTGCAGGGATCCCAGGTGACTCCAGACTGGCCCTAGAAACTTGATCTAAAAAAATCTGCAAAAAAAAAATCAGACAGGTTTCAGACTGTAAATCTGAACATTCTCATGACTTTTAGATCTTTTGCTGATCTTGATAAGTGGTGTAGTTTTTAAAATGCAAAGGTACTGAAAGTTATGCAAACTGGTTATGTTTGCAGGCAAATCACTTTTCTTAGTTTCTAGTTGGGAAGAAGTAGCCCAAGCTTCCATGACTCGCACTGCTGTCACTGAGTGTGCTCAGCAAAAGAAAATCTACTTTGTGTGTATCTTGACTTAACTGAGGGAGATGATGCCATCATTTCCCTAAATCAAATATCCTGTCATTTTTTGACAAACAAAATTGAGAACAATTTTAAGGATAGCGTTATAGTTAGCAAAGGACTAAATCCCCGTGCTAAGCTTAGCACAGACTGATCCTCTTGAGGGCTTTGAACTCTTAGTCACTTGGAACTCTGCCTAAATATACTATAGGATTTGGCAGTCCTATAACTGTATTTAATCAGGGCCTTATCAATTTCTAGCAGAGATTAAAAGGTTTTCCACTGATTTCCACAGACATTTGATGAGGCTATTATGCAGTGCAAATGTGCCATCTGTTCCAGGCTGCTGTACCTCCTGATACCACTCAGCCTAATAATGCACAAAGAGGGCAAAATAAGAATTCCATGGTGGCCCTCAGACAGATTTCCTTGATTTGGTCATACTCAGCTAAACCTAGCTGAAACATCAAGCAAAGCTTACTAATAGCAACTGCTCAAGGTTCTTTAGAGAGTATCTTCAAAATGGTGATGTCCCAGTATGACAAATAATGCATCAGGTGTTGGTGGCAGGTTTTCTTATATCCCTGAGATCTTAGTGTGGCTCATCTTTCAATCCACTTCCAGAACCTCCACAAGCCGTTCCTCACCTGGAAGACTTGACAGCAGTGCTCTCAACCTCTGGGACCACTGTCCCCTCAGTCCTGACTTCTCCTTCAGGAACAAAAATGACCGTCAGTCCTGGGAGCTCTGTCTTTATAGGTAAGTCAAGGGTGTCAAGATCTTCTCAGATTAAAAAGATTTGTTTAGATCATTGGGATCAAATTATAGTCACGCATATTCAAAGTGCATTATTGTACCCTGCCAGTTGCTGGGACACAGGTTATGGGGACCAAGAAGATGAGACTGACACTCCACTGTCAGAAACAGTAATCACCAAACTGTTCTCAAAACTTAGAAACCCTTTTCAATTCGTTTAAAAGATGTAGGTCTTCTTACTAATGTTATGCCCCAAAGGTGTGCGCAGAGCAGAACTCCACTGTGCTGTACTTTATAATTCTGTGTAAGAAACAAGCCCTGCTCTGCTGAGCCATCAGTCGCATTTCAATTAAGACGTTGCACTTTGGTCTGTCAATAATTCTAAAGAAGAAATGTTTGGTTTTCTTTTTTTTCTACACTTGCTTATTTTCTTTTTGTATGTCTGCTGCTCATTTGACAAATCCTTCTTCCCTAGAGCTTTTATTAAAGCTTTGCCTATCAATCTAGGCTTGCTATTCTCTTGCAAACTCTGTTAAATACTCTTCCTTTTATTCTTCTGTATAACCACAGAATCACACAGAAGGGTTGAGTTTGCAAGGGGCCTCTAGAGATCATCTAGTCCAACCTCCCTGCTCCAGCAGGGTCACCTAGAGCACGTGGCACAGGGTGGCATCCAGGCGGGTTTGGAAGATCTCCAGAGAAGGAGACTCCACAACCTCTCTGGGCAGCCTGTGCCAGGGCTCTGTCACCCTCACTTGAACAGCACTAGGCCCGGTACTGACCCTGGGGGGACACCACTTGCCACAGATCTCCAGCTAATCTTGGCCCCATTTATCACAACCCTCTGAGCTCTGCCATTCAGCCAGTCCTCAATCCACTTCACTGTCCAGTAACACACACTTCTTGACCTTCCTTCTGATAATATGATATAATATGCATAAACTGCTGTGGGTTCTGAGGATAAAAAGAAATACTCCTCAGTAAAAATGTTTTTCTTCTTTTCACTCTTTTCCACCTTCCATACAGGTTTTTCTGCTCCCCAAGTTCTCAGTGCAGTAAAGTCTTTTCAGATCTGCAGGTATGACTTGTTTGCAAAAAGAATCTCAACTTTGTCTAAAGTTTAGTTTAGGTATATTTTAAAAATTCAATTTTCATACCGACTTTGAGCTTCTATTTACTGTCAGACTCAGAGAAGCAAATAGCCTTGCCACTGTGTATGGCGAAATCTTTTGAAGTCCCGCAGTTCCAAAACAAATATCTTTATAGATGCACGAATCTGAATATTTTAACAAAGGATCTGCAGCAGATTTGAGTGTTTATAGTTACATCTGTACCTTTCATAGGCCTCCAACCCTTCTTTACTTACACTTAGTAGCAACTTTAGGGTTTTCTTTTCATAGTAGAGGCTTTCTATTTATGTTTCTATTTTTGCAGGATTTACTTTTCCCCAGTGTTTACATCTGCATACATTTGCAATGGCTTTAAGCATGCAGCTCTGGCTTACATTTCTGCTTGCATAAAAACTGCAGTGAAATAATTCTTGATGGGGGGAATATCTGAAGGTATTTATTAACATTCAATAAATCATTTCAAGCATGGTATTATTGTACTCCCTGTTGTAACACTGGATCACACTCCTGTTTCATCCATTTCCTCTCAGGTTTCCAAAGAGTGGTCTTTAGTAATTGTAGCTTTCTTTTTATTGTTTGAAAGAAGTAATAAAACCACAAAGTGTGTTCTGCAGTGCCTGTATGTAACCACCTCTAAACTAATTTCATTTGGCAATCTTGACCTGTACTCTGCCTTCTCACTTCAGGAGCAAGGAAACTCCATGAATCTCAAAACCCCTTTCATTCTTGAGGCAATTCCCCCAGCTTCACTGGGGTTTTACTGACTTGAATTTAAAGCCAGTGTTATTAAAACCCAAGGAAAGTTTCTGAGATATTTTTCTGGTGAAAAAAAAATCAGTCTGAAAGGAGCTATCCATTCACCCAGAATGCCTGCAGAGCAGTGTGCTGTAACACAGCATGTCCCTGAAAAAAGCATGCAAAGGCTCCAGTGTTCATGTATGTTACCTAAATACATGGTCTGTATTTGCACTAAAACATCTGGATTTGTCTGAAGAAAATAGGCATTAGTAAACAAAAAGCTAAACAAAACAAAACAAAATACCTTCTGCATGTCAGTTTTTCTTTTAACTGTCTGACTTATACAGCATGGCAGTATCTGGATTGTGGATTACCATGAAAAAACTCATATTTACTCCTTAATTCTCTCTATTCAAAATAATCTTGCACAGTGGCCGAGGTTATCATGGACTGCTGCGATACATTTTGATCAAACTTTAATTGAAATATTGCCACTTTGGAAACAGAATATATATATATGATTCCATACCTACATTGCATTCTATAATTTGGAAACAAGTGCTAAACCTCCTGTTTCTGTCATCCCTCTCAACAACTTTCCTTCTAAAGAGTCTACTAGCTCTTTCCATTTTGCTGTACAGCAGATTGATTTTATTACTTTCAAGTCTTTTTGTCATTGATTTGCTTGGTCTGTTTGTTGTACTTGTTCTGGCTGTGAGAGCCACATGTAAGAGCTTCGGATTTATCTTCCCTTGTCTGTATAGTTGCTGGCAGACCCCAGCCACTCTTGGGACCCAGCAGGCATTGAACTAGACCTGATACCTGAAGATCTGAAAATGTTAGAGTTTGTTGAGCGGAGAAGGAAATAGAACACGAATCAAGAAACAATAAAACAATACTTGTTTGCTTTCACTTGATAAACAGAAAAAAATGTCTCTTAAGAATACATGCCTCGTCCAGTGGAATTATCAAAGCATTTATTAGTATCTAATGTTAAATACCTTTCCAAATGAGCTCTAAGAAAATTCTTACATTTACTTCTTATATTTGCTTCTCAGGTTGAAAATTTTGTAGATTTTCAAAATGTATTTTGGAAGATCCAGTGTTCATGACATGTCTCATCTGCAGATGAGGATTTAGGGCTATCAAGAACTCCTACTTTCATTTGACAGAGTGTAGCCAGGTTGATACTTATTTCTTATTTTTGAAGACATAAAATGAAAATCTTAAGGTCTTACAAAATGCTGGGTTTTCATTACAATTTAACAAATTTGTTGTGACCTAATTTGAAACCTCTGCATACTTGTCAAAATATATACAAAATATGATTAAAAAGTCTTTCTGTCTTAGTATAGGATATCGTGTTTATTGCAGTTATTTACTGTTGTGAAATATGAAGCTTTTAATGACTTCAATTTATATGCGTGAAATACAATATATGAGTGACGATTCTTGCAGGAATGAGGGAAGATGAGATGGAAGTGAATATTTGTGGAAATATGGAAATGCAAATGGTATGCATAATATATCAAAGTGGAGAAAGGAAAGCAAGGTGGAATAAGAATATGTTTTTACTGCTTTCATGCAGCACAGTATTTCTTGGCATCTGTTGCATTGTTGAAGTATTTTGTTAAAGATGTGCTATTGAGTTTCACAGAAAATGTTTGTGAACACATCTGATAAATCATTCCTCAAAGCTGAGGGTTAAAAGCCCCTCATGTTTTTTCAGATCTTCAGAAATCTCCCTGTAATTTCTGTAAATGAAATCTACACTCAAGGATATGTATATGTGTGGCGAGGAAAATTGCATTGTACCCTGTATATAATTAAATGAAGCTTTTATACTGCATTTATGGGTGAACCACAGGAAGAATACAGCTGGAATACAGCACAAGCTCATGAATTTAAAAAGAAAGGGGAACATCAATATTTAAAATAGCTAAGGTCTGAAACAAACATAAAATCCAGTTCTTACTTGGCACAATGCAAGACTTAAGCAGTGCCTTTGAAAAGGGAAGGCATACAAGAAGAAATAAATGTACTAATAATTGTATCTAGCCTATCTGTTTTATATATGTCATGTGCATTTTCAGGACTCATTGGATGTCAATGAAGTATTCATGTTTTGGAAAGAAATGGCATGCATGTGTTCTACTGGCATAGACCTATTCAAAAATAGAAGAGGCCATCACCATGTAAATTCTTGACCTTTATTCTGTTTTTATTCTTCTGATGAAATGACAGTAATGCAACTCCTGAAATACAATGCTTATTATTGGGAATCTGAAGAGGTGTCAATATATGAGAACACTCGAGTAAATCATTTGGGATTTGGTTTCCATTGCCTTTTATCTCACAGACTTCTTGGTCCTTCTAGGAATCTGCCTAAGCTGTGCTTTTGTGTTTCCATAGAGCGGTGGTAGCAGTTCTTTACCTCTTAGAAGGTAAATTAGGATAATGAAGGTACTGAAGGATACTGATTTGATCTGTTCTTCTGGTACTGGGACCATATAGTTAGAATATTCTTCATCTTGTTCATAAGGAACCTTCTTTTATCACCAGCTTAATACTCTGAATTTTCATTTTTCTGTACTATAGTTTTCTAGACTATACATCCTTTAAATACTATGCATTTGCCTATCTGTAGAAGATACTGCCAATAACTAGAAACAAATGAGTTAGGTGACAGAGTGTACTTTTTTAAGACCAAGAATGTTCCTTCTGTGCATCTACACTTGGCTGCCTGGGCTGGCAGTCATAGGGTGTGCAAGCTCTTCCTGCGCCTTACTGCTGAGCTGCTTGAGCCACAGTGTCCCGCAGTGATTGTTCAACATGTCTCTTGGGCATTTTTCCCTCCAAGATTTATTTCTACAGTTCTTCTGGAGCTGTAGAGGAGGTGAAGCAGGGGTTGACACTGAAGGACACTCCTGTTAAACCTTTGCCATTCATTGCATAGGGTTAGCTGAGGAGGCATTCCAGCATACTGTAGCCATTCTTTTAGGCTGAGGTTTCATGACTTAGCCATTGATAACTCTTTTCCAACAAATCCTTGTAGTAGAGGGTTCTCGGTGTGTCAGAATTCCCCAAATCAGTGCCATTTTTAAGAGCAGTGTTACTATTACAGCTTGAAAACCC